CTTTATTAGCCGATAGATTTAACATGTCACTAATAAATCTGCAGCACATCCCGATCCCTGCTACGTGTCTTGCATAAACGAGACATTTCTTCTAACCTCCCTGAGCACATTCTTTCTTTTACTCTTCGACCAATGAAGAAAAAACAGGTATTGCTCAACAGACAAGCAGAACAGGATCTGTACTGTATTTTTCTGAAGCAACAGACAGGAGCTCCTCGCTGGCTCACGCTGCCGTCCTCCCACTGGAGCCACAACAACATAGTCCGGAGTTTAAGAGAACGAGAAACACCTTCAGTGTTTTTCCAACACAACATTAATTAAACAGAACTGCAGCTGATGTCACAGGCTGATTATTTTGTTGTTTTAAGGGTGGTAAACAGAATGTGACACAGATAAGAGAAAATAAAAGAACATAATAATGTTGAACTCATATTACAAAATCCCCCTCTTGTTTGCAGACTTTATGCAAAAGAAGTGACTTTTTAGGTGTTTTTTATGTTAGGAGGTGTCATGTTACTAAGATTTTAATAGCTGAAAATGAAATTTCAGGAAACATTACCTAGAAAGATTAAAAAAGAGACCAAAGGCAGAGAATAATTTGATATTTCAAAGTTTTACATTTTTAATTAGAAAAAAAATGCCCCTTTCATTTGGGTCCAGCTGCAAAGGTGGCAGACAGCATATGATTCAGATCATGGTCACAAACGTCCGACAGGTCAGAAAGGATCATGTGGCCCACGTTTGGGGACATCCACTCATCTTATTATATCACAATTTTCCACATTAGTGATCCATTAAGCTCTTTCATATCAGTTTAGAGCAGAAAAAAGAAAACTCTTCTTTAGAAAATGTTGCTCCTCTTATTTATCCCCACACAAAACCCACGTGTTTCCAACGTAAGTACTCAGTACTTCTAATATCTGTGTTTAAAGCCAAGTTATATTAAATTCTGTTCTTCGATTGACTAACTTACCCTTTTTTATTAATATTTCTCACTGACGTCAATTGTAAATATTCCTATTAGCTTGAAATGATACATTTTTATATACATAAAACTGTGGTAGACGCTCCATCTTGAAATACTGTAGCTGTTGAAGGACATACAAGATCTAATGCTCTGCATTTCATGTTTGCGCTTTGACATGAAAGTTCTCCCTCTAAAAGTTGGTTTAATGCTTGACGCATCCGCGAGGTTCGCACGGCTCCACGTGGAAAAGTTGCGTCATTTTAACAACCACGCCCCTCCACCGCGCCTCCGCACGGCCCAAACTTTCCGCACCGCGCACCTAGGAAATTTTCTAACCATGCGGACGGTCGGACGCGGAAAAACATGGCGGACTGGCAAGAACTAGTATGGCGGAGGTTCGTAAATACAGACATTTGTATGATTCAGCTCTCAGAGATCACCGTGATCAACATGTTGTTAATAATTCTTGGAGAGAAATAGCTCGCACTGTCAGAAAAGACGAGGACGCTGTTAAAAATGCTGGAATGCCATGTTGTAAACAACAGTAATTTTTACTTCTACTACGGTTTTGTGTTGGATGCATGTCGTAGAGCTCCATGCTGTCCCCTACAGTTTGGGAGAATATTGGCTCACCGCAGAGACAAGCCGCATGAACCATAAATGCTGCAAGTTGTGAAGCGCGTTCCATCCGCGAGCCGCATCACCAAGCGGAAAGTGAATGCGTCAAGCATAAACCAAGCTTAAATGTTTTGCTGAAATTCTGTTCCTGCTCTTACCGCATGTGATAGCTGAGTCATTTATAACTGTGGAGATGCATGCACGGCTGTGGGGGAGAGGGAGATTGGTGGCAAGTCAAGTCAAAGCAGCAGCAGCAGAGCAAGAAGACACAGCTGCTGCAAATGACTGATCAGACCCGCTCTACATATTTACAGGACACCCACAGAGTGCTCTCCATTCCCTTTGCTGACTGCAGGAAGCAGCAGAAACTGTAAATAATACTTTTAGATGGTTGAAAGCCAGTGTGTGGTGTTTTCTGTGTGTTACTCCAAAGTAGACATCTCCCTCTCTCCTGCAGACATGCATGCACCACCACAATGATGCATTGCTACAATAGCTGAATTGAGACACATTTACACGCTGGGGCTTTTAATACTTTTTCTGTCATCTTTATGTCATTTAATCATGTACATTTTATTACTTATATATTTATCTTACAGGATCTAACTTTCTCAGTAAACTCAGGAAAAAGTCAAGCATCTGGTATTAGCCAGGTCTGGCTACAATGTCAGGGTTTGGGTTAGCGGCAGCAGCGAGTACTGTAGCAAACAACAAACTTTAATTTTCTTAAAGGATTGCTGTAAAGTCACTGAAAACAAGCCAGTGACTTGATGCAATCTGCAGGATTTTCTTAGACTAATTAGAAAGTTGAACTGAACTCAGTGAATAGATAAGTAAAATTGGAATGGTTACTTTGTAAAGTGCCTTGAGACCACTCTTGTTGTGAATTGCTGCAGTAGAAATAAACTGAACTCAATTGTTCTCAAGAAAGAGGATGATGCATGATGTTTGGGAGGTGGCTAATGGTGGCATGTCCTTGTGGAGGAGACTCCAGAGGTGACCCAGGATGTGCTAGATGAATTAAGGCTGGTTTGGAAACATGGTGGGATCCCAATGGGGGTAGTTCGGGCTTCCCTGCTAAAGGAGGGAAGGAGCTTCCCAGCTAAAAGCCAAAAGCTTTTTTCTTATTGAGACCTCAAAATATAATGTAAGCTTCTAGCCTGGCAGGCCAGACTAAATAAATGTATTATTTAGTCTGGCCACGCTCCATTGACGGCTCTCGGTTGTGGGGCGGGTTCTACCGTTGTCTTTCAAATGATCTCCGCATGCTACTGGACAATGACCGTGACATACTCTTGTTTCACTCTGTTGCATCATCCCACCCACCAGGCATATAGAGTGCCCTGATTGGCCCACAAAGCGGATAAAGCTCTGTGATTTGTTCACTAAGCCGATAGAGCACTATGATTGGCCCACCATTATGGACCAATCACAGCTCTTTATGTGTTTGAAACCCCTCTAGAGAGCTGTGATTGGCTAGCCAGAGTCCTGGTAGGAGCTGCGGAGGTTCCAATGGAGCGTGCCTAGACCAGAATTTGGTCTAGTTCACTAGGCAAGTAAGCTTCATTGTTTCAACAATTAGTATTTATTCAGCACACTGATGCAGGTATAAATCTGGAGCCGCATCTTCAGTAAAGTCCAGCGGAAGATGCTGAGAGGTTCCTGTTCTGAAGGCGCAGAAATCCGCTCGTCTCAGGGTTAGTTAGATCATAATAATAATAATAATAATAATAATAATAATAATAATAATAATACATTTTATTTAAAAGCGCCTTTCAGGACACCCAAGGTCACTTGACAGAAAATACATCATAAAATACAATAAAACAATAATAAAACCCAAACAAGAAAAAACAAAGAGAGAAACAGTTCAATACAATCAGAGGTTGTAGGCAGATTTAAACATATGTGTTTTGAGTTTTGTTTTGAAAAGGGTAAAACTGTCGATGTTGCTGATGTCTGGGGGAGGTGAGTTCCAGAGACGAGGAGCAGAGCGGCTGAAAGCTCTGCTCCCCATGGTAGCGAGACGGGCAGAAAGAACCGCAAGATCAGTTACAGACTAGACTGGTGAGTCAGGGCTGGCCCAGTTAACCTGCAGCTGATTAAACCAGTATGACTTAATCGGCACACCATGAGTTTGGCTCAGTGGGAGCACTGGTGTGTGAAGGGCCATGAACTCTGTAAAGGCTCAGTCCACACACACACACACACACACACACACACACACACACACACACACACACACACACACACACACACACACACACACGGCAGCACATTAGTAATAACTCAAGTATAGTGGAAATGGACTACCTGGGCCTGATGCAGCACTTTCCTGCAAACCAGTCAGCTTCAAAGATCAACACCACAGACTAAAGTACACCAACCAGTTCCCACCAACAATGCAGTTGCAGCTGACTTCACCTGTGACTATTGTCTTTGTGTTTACGCAGGAATACTAGCTAGTAGACTCACAGGGTTGTTTACACTCTCATAAGGTGTTTCAGCAATAAAGCAACAACTTCGATCCATTAAAACCATGTCAGCGTGCAGCTGCTCATGCATTTAGACCTTCACTGTGTGCAGGCGTTGACATTTTAACCATGCACATCACTAACAATTGACAAGCAACACTCAATCAACTCAGTTATTGATGTTGGGATTTTGCCATAAGCTGGTCATCAAAGGCTTTTAAATCATATTATTGACATTTCTGACTTGACCTAAAACAGGTCCAGGCTTCTAGAACTGGGATGCTTTAATAAAATTCCCCAGAAGCAACACAAATATCGCTATTTTAATAAATATTTTGCTTACTTGAAGGATGTAAAAAGGAACTGCATAGAAATTAGCAGAAAAACGAAGAGACTGAAGAACTGAAGTTGAGGGATAATTTTGTGTTGTGGTCGTAACTGTGTACTTTCAGTTAGCTCCTATTGTTTTCCAGGCATGCACGCAGTCCCGCTTCAGTGAGACAAGTGGCCCTCTATGAGACAATGTCCCCCTTCAGAGACACAAGTGAATAATTGACATGGTCTGGAGGATCATTTGGGACACAGCCTATTAAATGCTGCTGGCTTGTTTATGTTTACAAACACAGCTTTAGAATAAAACTCCCTGCAAGGCGCAGCTCATGTTAGTGCTCCGGGTTCCTGTCCCAACAGCATGTGTTGTGTCAGACTTGAGTGTGACAGGTGGGATGTGTGCGCTCCTATTTTTTTTCCTGCTCCTATGTATCAGCGCTTCATAAATCCTGCGAGTCTCAGCAGAGACTATCTGAGAGGACGCGAAGTCCCGCAGGAATGTCGCCCCGAACCAGAATAAACCTCGAGCGCTTTACGGGAACACGAGCGCCTAACTTTCCAGGACTCGTGCGTGTGTTCCGGAGGCGCTGGAAACGAGGAAATGTACCCACCTTCCCTGCCCGAAGCGCCCGTCACTCCGAGCAGCACGGCCCCGACGAACACCAAACTTCTCACCGCCTCCATCTGCGCAGACGCGCCGCTCCTAGTCCATACTCCAAAGTTGGAATTTTCTGACTTCTCCAGCACAGGAAAAGACGCGTTTTCACTTGTTTTCCTTCTCCCAGGTGAAGTTCCTCGTTTCCTTTTGGCCCTGCTGTGAGAGCGCAGTTGTGGTCTGTTTTCCAATCTCAGTGACTTCCTCCCATGGACTCTGCGCCTGTCGGTAGTAAATGCGGGGGCGCGCAATGGAGTAAAGGCGCGTGGCCGGGGTTTTGGTGGGGAGTGGCAGGTTGACTCAGCCCGCCCTCAAAGAAGGCATCTACCAGGGGCGATTCTAGCATCAGAGGTAGGGGTGCTAAGCACCCAGAGAGCTGCCCAGCCAGGCAAGGCACATTCCCACATTTTGAACATTTGACAGAGTTTCATTCCCACATTTGTAAAAGGAAAGAAAAACACTGTTTTCACAAATTAAATGATGATTTTTACATAAGGTCCATTTAAAAAAATTTGCATATTGTGATAAAGCTCATTATTGTCTGTAATGTACTGATAAAAATTAGACTTTCACATATATTAGATTCATTACACACAACTGTAGTAGCTCACGCCTTTGATTGTTTCTAATATTGATTATGTTGGCATACAGCTCATGAAAACCCAAAATTCCTATCTAAAAAAATTTGCATATCATGAAAAGGTTCTCTAAACGAGCTATTAACCTAGTCATCTGAATCAACTAATTAACTCTAAACACCTGCAAAAGATTCCAGAGGCTTGTAAAAACTTCCAGCCTGGTTCATTACTCAAAACCGCAATCATGGGTAAGACTGCCGACCTGACTGCTGTCCAGGAGGCCATCATTAACACCCTCAAGCAAGAGGGTAAGACACAGAAAGAAATTTCTGAACCAATAGGCTGTTCCCAGAGAGCTGTGTCAAGGCACCTCAGTGGGAAGTCTGTGGGAAGGAAAAAGTGTGGCAGAAAACACACAACGAGAAGAGGTGACTGGACCCTGAGGAAGATTGTGGAGAAGAACCGATTCCAGACCTTGGGTTAGGGTTAGTTTGAACAAATTTCCTCCAACATTTTCAGCTGATTGTCCCATTTAGGAATAAAAAATTTTCAAAGCTTTCTCTCTTTCTGCTCTGTGTCGTGCACAGCCATCAGACCGGCTGATCCTGAGGCAGAATAAAAGGATAAACCTCCAACCTTATTTTAGAAGTGTCAACAATAAATGCAGCAAAGCGTAATTAACCTGCAGTTATTCACTAGCAAAGCAAAATTCAACTTTCATGAGCAAAGACCCATAACATTCAATAAATCAGAAAATTTAAAAGTTTATTTTAACATTTACTTCAGTTCTAATTATTCAAAATGTTGTGTTTATCACATTTAGCTTGTATTTTAAATATCTTCAGCTTTATTTGTTGAGAATTTTGTCACACTGCGAGTAGGGGGTGGTTAGGACCCAAGATGCAGTAACCAGGATGACACGAGGCAGGAGAGATAATCGTCCAAAGTAAAATTCCAAAAAGGGCAGGAAGCCAAAAACAAATCCACAATCCCAATGTGTAAATCCTAGAGACCAAGTGCTACTTTGAAGAGCAGACCTGGAGATATCCAAAAACCAAGTGACCAAGAAATTTCCAGAGACCAAGACAGGGAGCGAGACAACGCTGACACAAACAATGGACCGACAAACACAGAAAGACAGGACAGGGTTTTACACTCAGGGCAAGGGTGATTAGGAGGATTGGGCACAGGTGATATTAACCAAGAGGAGAAGCAGAACAGGGCTGTCATGTTCCTGGGAATGTGTTTAACCCACGACATGAAGAATCATCACAAGACAGGGTGGAAAGTTCAAAACAATGATTTATTTCAGGAATCTAACAAAAAGTGTCCCTGGAATAAACCCAGAGTAGTTGGAGCCAGAGAGAGTCCAAGTTCTGTAGGTGGAGGAGGTCGAGGAGGGCAGGTGGAGTGACGGGGTAGGTCCAGGAGAGGGAGCCAGGCAGGGTGGCAGAGGAATAAGAGGAGAGGCAAACCATGAAGTCCAGGAAGGTTATGGTTCTTTCCAGGTGAGTAATCCAGTAAGGTTCTGCTTCTCGGATGGAGGATAATATCCAACAAACCCAGAGCGTCAGGGAAGATTGTCCAGTAATCCTGGAGAGAGGATACAAAACTTGAGTCCAAAAAAAATCCAACACAAGAGTCCAAGAATAAGCCAAGAGATTTTCCAAGCCAATTATCAACGTAGAAACCACGCAACCTAGAACGAGAGGCCAAATACTACCATGAGTAGCTAATCATCCAGCGCTGTGTAGTGGTTCCCTCTCCTCTTATATAGAGCTCTGCTGGATGACCTGAGAAGCTGCAGCTGCCGCTGATTGCTAATACCCCGCAGCTGGTGAGCTCCCTCTCCTGAAATGAAGAGCTCAAAGATGTTATAGAGATGAGGAGTACTCACCCCACCACACAACAAGGGCAGGTGAGGAAAGCCCCAACTAAAACCTGTTAAACAAAGCTACTGAACTAAATAACTTAAAACACTGTAGAAACAAAACACTGGAGAACTAAAGACAATAAAACTAGTGACCTAGGAGTAATACAACCCAAAACACTGGAAGACAGGGGAGGATGATACCTAAAGGGAGAAACGAACTAGACAATCTACAATAACAGAAAACGAATGATAAGAAAAGTGACTAAGGGAAACCTGGAGAGAACCTGGAGGGGGCTGGGGACCACAGGGAGGCACCTGGGGGGGACGACACAAGGAGACACATAAGGGGAACCTAGAGAGGGATGGAGAACACAAGGAGACACATGAGGGAAACGCAGAATGCAGACCATGACAAATTTGTGTGTTGCATTGTTTGTAAAAAATAATCACGACACCACATTACTTGAAAGGTTTTGTATTAAATGCCATTTAAAGAACATTAAACATTCTTTGAATGGCATTTAATAGTTTTATGAAGTATTTGTTCATTTATGACAGAATAGATGAACACTATGAAAAACTGACATTGCTGCTCAGGGCAGGGCACAGGGTCAGGGACTGAACAGGAGCAGGTTAGCTGTTCCTGTGTGCTCAGAAAGTTATGCTACTGATCCATTCTAAAAATAATGTCAAATCATTCACATGAAGTGGATTTGTATTTCATTATCTGAAAATATCTGAAAAGTTAACAAACCAAATGTTTTGTTTTGTTTGATTTTCAGAATGTCACTATTTTCCTTGTACTTTTTATACATATTATTTTGATGTATTAAATTACAGGGAAACTAACTTGTGAATAAAATGCATGTTAATATAGTAAGTAAAGCATTTTTAACACAAGCATATTAACACATGGAAAGTATCAATGTGAACAAACTGTGTGGCGATAGCTCTTCTGTACTTTAATTGTGTAAAAGTAGCTCACAGGCCTAAAAAGGAAAAAAGATCACTGACTTTAATTTCTGAAGAAGTCAGATCTAATCATGAGTTCTGGCTTTTTTTCTCTCACAAGTCTCAGATTAGGTCATCAAGGCTTTATTTAAATAATTTCAACAGTTCTTATTGTGCTTTAAACCTAGCGCCTTGTGCGTGTCAGAATCTTATTTGGGCTTTGCTGAAGATCCTGCTGTTGAGCAGCATGGTAGCACAGAGAAATGATTCAGAAACGTCACAAAGACCGTGAGTCACCCTGAACACCTTTAACCCACGAGTAAACGCCTTCAGCCTTTATTCTAACAGCATTTTCTCCGCTGTGCTCATCTTTCTGTCCTCCAGGCTCACTCTGTTGTTTCCTTTTGGTTTGGTGGTTTGTTTGCGCTGTGCTCTGGATGTCAGTTAAAGGCATCAATCACAAAATGGTATGCAGGGTCCTCAGCTGCTAGTACTGCAGGGGGTCATCAGCACAGCCCAGAAGATCACTAGCTGCTCTCTAACCAGCCTGGAGGACATATCCAACTCTCATTACCTCAGTAGAGCTGGCAATATCATCAAGGACCACTCTCACCCCAGTAACCATCTGTGTGACCTGTACCATCAGGTCATCAGTACAGGTCACATAAAACCAGGACAAATAGGGATAGCTTCTTTCCCAGAGCTATCACCGTAGAAAACAACCACAATACCGGACAAATCTGTCAACCCCAACCACACATTTAGTAAGAATTTTCAATTTTGTTTGTATAGCACTCCTCAAAGACAGACAAGTGCTTCACATAGATCAAAACAAAACAAATAATTGTAAAATACCATAAAACTAATGAAAGATTATTACAAATTCAAATTGAAAATAAGAAAATACAAGATTTAGGTAAAAGCAGCTTTAAATAAAAGGGTCTTCAGCCATTTTTTTAAATGTGTCCACACCGTCAAATTTACTGTTCTATATTGATCATGTGTAATAACAATTATGTGCTATTTCAATTCACTCAGTGTGCTAAAAATCTGCTTACTGTGGCCTGCACAGAACCCAGCTAATGCTGCTACTCTGTGTATGTATTTGTACATATTACTGTTGATTTTACATTTATATTATTTTGTATTCTTTTACATTCTGCACAAAAGGCAGTACTCCAATTTTGCTGTTCCCTGTCCAATGACAATAAAGCCTAACTACAGCCACTCAGGAAGACACAGAGCACTCAGAGCCAGAGTCTGGGAAAGGTGAGCAGAATCAAACCGTTTCTGAGGCAGGGCGAGATTTGCTGCATTTTTGTCTTTAAAATATAACGTTTCAACTTACATTATGGTTATATTTACTAGTGTCTTTAAAAAACAGCTCAAATGAGTAGATAATCAAATAAATCTAAAACTTTACGGGTGTTGGGGTTAAATTTAGAGGTGCTTAAGCAACTCCAAAAACTGGCTAGAAATACCTATGCTGTCAACAAAGAAACACCAGCTGTGAGCTCACACCGGAGCTGAGTGAGGCTCAAATCAGAGCAAACATGGTGTAAAAATCCTTCATGTCTTTGGTTAATACTAGTTTTACTGCAAACTAGCACAATTTGGTGTCAAATCCTTTGCCTTCCATGTCCCCCTGGGGTGGTGCTTACTATGGAATCAACTATCTTAGTAACAAAGTGTCATCTAGACTAGAATGTGTGTGTGTGTGGTCTAAAGCCTGGAGCACACCGCACCTGTGCCGCACCCGCCCCATCATTTCAAATGGAAGCCATTATAGTTAATGAGAGTGGGCACTCTCCCCAAGAAGGGACAGAAGGTCTAACAACAGGTCTCAGCCTGCGAACTCCCTTCTAAAGC